TACTTCGCAAATATCTGTTTACTACCTACCTTCCTGGAAGACAGCGGTCTGAATTAATGGTGGAAATTGATCGGAAATAACCTTGTGCCAATAAGCATATTGCATTTATCATTAGCAAATATCATTTCGCATTTGTCATTTCGCAAATAGCAATTCGCAAATAGCAATTCGCACGGCAGAATGGCTTTCCATACACTTCATACCTTGTGCTTCCGTTTCCAGATGGCAATAGGGATGACACAACTGTTGACACAGGAATCACTTTCAATAAAATGATGAAGGCAAACATCAACGGGATCTCCATGTTTACGACCTTAAAAGAAATAGAAAGAAATGAAAAATAGCATTATAAAAACAAAGGGCTGGGGCTGTAAACATGTAATATTGTTATCCACCACCAACAACTAAACATTATCGTTAGACAAACCAAACCCCCTGACTAGCAGGTATATTTCTGTCAGATTTAACGCTTCAACCAGAACAAAATGTAATGATAAACTTTCTCACCCGCTGCTTTTGACACCATGTAAGAAAGCGGCACCGTATCTGGCGTCTTTGTTAAAACTAACATAATCTTAATCGTTTCAAATGTTACCATGAAAAATATATCAATCGAGATATAATTTTTACGGAATGTTTAATGTTTATATAAAAATGGCAATTACCTGTAAGCAGCTACATCGAATTTGCCAGTTTTTCTTCGTGTAACAACCTTTTGCAAGAGACCGTTGAATTCAAATACCCGCGTCTTATGTATTCTGTTCTTAATTTTTAAGTATTAAGAATTAATTTTTAAATATTAAGAATTATATTTTAAATATTAAGAATTAAATAATAAGTTTTAAGTTTTAAATATTAATTTCAAATGTCCCTCCAGGGCTTCCATATATATGGTATCAAAGTTTCCTAATTGTTATGTTTTTTTATCATCGGCAAATTTGATTATCCACCTTAATTCTTTTGATTTGCATATTTATGAAAAGATTAATCGAAAAATAACATATTTAACCTTTAGAAAAGCTGAAGGCCGCTTTAAGGACGTTTAACATTTTTGAGAAATTTGTTATTCAACCTCGATGTAAATTCCAGCATGATTAGATTCTTTTCAATAGTCAAGTCGTCAAATTAAATATATAATAAAAAACATATACATGTTCATCACAAAGTAACATTTTAGTGGTACGTCAATACAAAAGTACAGAAAAGTATGAAACATGAAAGGATGGTACCACAAATCATCTAATTGTTCTAATACTTAAAGAAATAACAATAATGTTAAGAAAACATTTTAAATGAAAAATCATATTGAGAATGAGTTCTACTCTACTTAACTTCCTATAACAACAGTTTACAACTGAAGTTTTATGGTGACTGATTTTGCCAATTCCTATCCTTGCCCCTCAAATCCAAGGCAAAGACACAAATACACGGGGGTGGAACCCCATATGAATCTCAAAAATGAGCATCGGTAAAAATTATATGTGAATTTCCGCTGCACCAGATGTGAAGCATAACATCAGATGTGACTGGAAAAATAGGCCGATCGCAGGGTAAGTTTTCATCTTTTTAAACATTTATATAAAATTCAATCCTTTTTTTAAGAAAATCGAAATGTGATTCTACCCTCCTGACTCTCCTCTATATTACCCCTTGTTGTTTTGGATTTCTATGCAGTCTTCATCGAGATATTCTTTCCGTCGTGGGTTCTGGTGTGTCCAAAACATGCAATGTGAATGAAGAAAATGTCACTAAACGGACTAAAAAAAACAGAGATTTTACGAAATCTCACTACAGGTCGATGCTAAACATTCAAACAAATCCTGGTTTAAACATTTATTGAGATTTAGCTACATACAAGGGAATCGCTGCTCAAAATTGCATTTGAGCTCCAGATGTGCTGAAAAGATTCATATGTGCATAACATAAATAATTAGCGACATAATTATGCATCACTTTCATACAGCAATCTAGAATTTATTCTATTGTGTATCATTCTGAAATAAATATTATTATCCGAAATAGACACATTTTCACGAGACGAGCTTGAATAACATAGTATCCATATAGAAAGAGATATAAGACATTCTGCATACGAACGGTTTTGAAAATAGTAGATATGGTGGGAAGGCCTTGCTTATTTTGACTTATTGACGTCGTGTGTATTGCAATCTTTCCCTTTTTATGCCGCCATGCATTAATTAATTAATAACTCAATTATTCACTCGACTGCACTGTCTGCTTCATAGGGGAGTAATGTGGAAGCGTGTTTGAATTTGTTATGATGCTGTAAGAAAGTTAGTGATAAACTTTTCAAAGAAGATTTGCATATTTATTTTTCACATCAAGAAACGTCCCTACATAACATTTACATGGTTCACTTCCATTTAAAATATTCATTTGATTTTGCGTTGTTTACGCGAACTAGAGTAGAATAATTCTTATGGGACAGTTCTTATGAGGAGGTTTAATTACTTGTATATCACTGCATAGAATCCAGCAAGCAAATATTTGTGATTGTGATTGAACATCTATTAGATACATTTATCACGTGGTGCGGTGATTTTTCTTTGATACTCCTCAACTGCTATACGCCAGTAGCATGCTCTATTGACAATAACGCACAGTGCACATGGGTCACTGGACGGTACCAAAATTTAGGCTGAACCCCCCCCCCCCCCCAAAAAAAAAAAAAAAAAAAAAAACAAAAAACAAAAAAACAACAACCTTTTAATTTTTTTCATGTTATTTTGCGCTAGGAGGCACTGCCTCTATGAATCTTTTCATGAGTAGCATTACTTGCAATATTATCCATTTCAAGTCCCCGAGAAAATAACGATAATCGTTAATAATAGACTTATTGATATAAAATTAAAAATCCATCTTTTGGCATGCCATTAAAATGCTGATGAAACGGCGGTTAGTGTAGTACTGGCGCGTCCCAATTATTTACAGCAATGTTTTTCTGTGTCTTTGGTCATCCAACCAATCAGGAACACCCAACGCACTTCCGATTAGCTCATATGGTGTGGGGTTTACAATATCGGTCATTGACAAGTTACATAAAAAGTAACCGAGGTTTCGAGTGGGGAATTTAATTTATGGAGAGAAGCCAATCATAAATTGAAATTTTATGTTTATTAAAATTCTTATTTCTGTTTATCATGCGATAAAACAGTTATAATACATGTATATCGAACTCGACTATTATGAAGAAATATCATGACCTGGGGCGGCATCTCGGGTTTTCCTTACAGACAATGTTCTCGGCCCATATTCTGTAAAGAAAAATCTTCGATGTCGCACCAGGCCATGATATTTCCACATAACAGTCTGTCGCTATAACTATAACTTGTGGAATATTTAAGTGATAGATATTTTTTATGAATGTAAACATTATTATAGAAACATATTATATGACACGATAGCTTTTACAAAGTTCAATACTTTCAGTTTGGTTGGTTCAAGTTACATATTATTTATTAGTGAATTGTTTATCATACGAGTACTATCCGCTCTGCGTCAACATTTTCATGTACTCGGGCCTTTTAGTATTTCTAATGCTAGCATAAGCTAGAAAGCTCTGCCATTGTGGTAATCAAACACACTAATGTTACAATTGAACTTTCAGCCAAAGCTACAAAACCTAAATTGTTTCTTTACATTGGCCATTTAATGATATTTTATGGAAGTGGCCCGTAGTTTTGTAGATGTTTTTCTACATCACTTATGAATCTCTTCAGCACATCTGGAGCTCAAATGTAATTTTGAGCAGCGATTCCCTTGTATGTAGCTAAATCTCAATAAATGTTTAAACCAGGATTTGTTTGAATGTTTAGCATCGACCTGTAGTTAGATTGCGTAAAATCTCTGTTTTTTTAGTCCGTTTAGTGACATTTTTTTCATTCACATTGCATGTTTTGGACACACCAGAACCCACGACGGAAAGAATATCTCGATGAAGACTGCATAGAAATCCAAAACAACAAGTGGTAATATAGAGGAAAATATATGCTCGTGAAATATATGCTCACTTATAGTGTCATCACCTTTGACTTTTGAGGGCGCCAACACGAAGACACGATAAATTTAAAGCCAAATAATGATATTTTAATAGGCAATGACTAAAGATCTTCTGCAGAATTATCGTGTCATTGGATAGAAATATTCGTATTGGCGCCTTATATTTCTCGTGTCATTATCACAAAATGTGAAGACACAATAATTGGCTGACTTATCATGTCTTTGACTTTCAGGGCGAAGACAGGGCAATATGAAGATTCGATGGATTGGCCAAATACCTTTTCTTTGACTTTCGGGACGTAGACACGATAAATTGCATATTAAGGTATTTTCATTTCTTTCACATTTTCAGGCAAAGACATAACAGATGTAGGGCGCCAGTACGAAGAATTCTACCCCCCGACGCGATAATTTTACAGAACAAGATCAAATGTCTTTAAGCAAAAGCTATCATATAGTTCATATTTGTATCTGTAAAGGTGACTGTGTAAGAAAGTAATGGTTGCTTTTGCTGAGGGAAAACAAGTTACTAAAAAGTCCCTGGTTGCTATACAAAATCAGTGGTTTCTTTGGAAGTCACTGAATGCTATGAATACAATGATAGATTTTTTTGTTACTTAGAAAAGTAAATGTTTGCTATGGAAGACACTGTTTGCTATGTAAACAAGAGGACCAAGATGGCCCTTATATTGTTCACCTGACTATGCAGACTTAATACCATTTTATTTTGGCTGTGTGACCTAGTTTTTGACCACAGATGACCCATATTAGAACTTGACCTAAAAATCACCAAAACAACCTTTCTGACCAATTTTCAGGATGTTTGGATCAAGACAGTAGCCTCTACAGTGTTAATAAGTTTGTTTGTTTTTTTTAACCATATTTGGGCTGTGTGACATAGTTTTTGACCCCAGGTGACCCATATTAAACCTTTCTGACAGCAGCAATTTTGATCCAAGGGCTTTTATTTGAACTTGGTAGACATCTACTAGATGATGATTCATGCAAAATATCTAAGCTCTAGCTCTTATGGTTTTTTGAAAGAAGATTTTTTTAAAGTTTTCTTCCTGTTGCCAGGGCAACCAGAGTTCTGCATGGAATCAATTCTTTGAGCATTTTTCAAATGATCCCTTCAAAGGAATATTCCAGGGAAGTTTGGATGATATTGGCTAAGTGGTTTATGGCGAGATGTCTTTTGAAGTAAAAATTTACGGACGGACACCAGATGAATTGCGATTACAAAAGCTTACCTTGTCACTATGAAAAAATACTGAAAAACTGCTGAAAAATACGTAAATTCTTGTGGTGAAAACTGAAAAGTAGGATAGGGCATGGAAATAAAGAATAAGGATGAAAAGCTAACTAATAGGAGGGGTCATGATGACCTAAAACTGAACATGCAAATGTTACTCATCACCTCCAAACAGTGACAACACTGAATGTCTTTTAATACCGAATACTACATACAAGTGCTCATAAAAATTTTAAGTGATAACATTTATATAGTATACCCCCGAAACAGTTAAAATCTCAGAAGTTCAAATTACAGGTATTCATTTCTGGAAGAATAAACAAACTTCTTATGGAAATAAAATCATGGAGAGGTAGACATTCAATATTTTTCCTTTGAATTAATATCCCTATATTTTGGTATTATCAGGAAGCTTATTACGTAAAGGTTATGATTTATTAAACAAAATGATCATTTACCCTTGAAAGGCTTGTAATTGCACCAGTCCTGTCTTCTTACAACAGAAGAGTGACAAAATAAGAAGGACTGACAGAAGAGTGATAAAATAAGGACTCAGAGATTATAAATGACGTATGCATAAATGTGAGTATATTTTAACTAATGTTTTATCAAAGATGCATAAAACAAAACTTGGGCAAAGGTAGAAAGCAAACTTGTAACTTTTAATTATATAAGACTTCTACATGGTATTTAAGCTTGTATGCATCATTTAGACTTCAATATGACATGTTTTTATCACTTCTATATCTTTTATTATGTTATCTACATGTATTATTTTCGTCTTGGGACATAATTCTTGAGAAAAAAACACACACCATGTGCACCGTGTATATCCTGTTACAATAATGCATGATTCATGCAATAAGTAACGCAGAATTGTGCAATAAATGGCGGATACCTGACAGGATTTCCAACACTGTAAGAAAACTGGCCAAAATATTTTTTTTTTTAACCGAACTGAAAAAAATCAATAGCCGCATACGGCTGCAAAGACATAACTCTTCATCCCTCATCAACATTATTCCACAAAATTGTTTACTTTTCAAGATCATTCATGAAAATGATGACTTCATATATCAAGTATTTTAGAGAATGTTAAAATAATGCATGAATTGTTCAACAGTAATGCAGAATTGTGCAATTTCATGGTCGAAACGTGCACCTTGGTAAGCATATTTATAATTAATCAAAAAAAAAGAAATTTATTTGCCATTGTTGCGCAGACTTCATAATATTTTAAAAGTATTTCAAGGGAAGTGTTGGGTTTTTTTAAGATCATTCATGAGAATGACAACCTGGCTAGTACATTGAAGGCAACTTTAGTGTTTCATTGATATATATTTAATACAGTGTAATATCTGAAAACCAAACACCTGTGGGAGTATAGCAAAAAACTTCGGATTTTGAAAGTTTCCAGAATTCAAGGTAGAATCAAGAAACATTAATTAGCAGTTTCATTAAGACATAACTGTTAAAGTGTTCACTGTTGATATAAGAAGCTGATAAAATGTTTCAAATGGCATAATTTGATGATTCTTAAAAGTTTATCATCACCTATAACTGACTTTGTAAAGTCATCACAATTTATCCTTTAGCATGTATGATGCGATACATGTACCAGCTTTTAACCTGTAGTAGTAACAGGAGTAGTATTTTAAGTTTATTTATTCTTGGCGCGGGAATTAACCATCTGTCGGTGTCCGAGATTCCGTGAATCCATGTTGGTTCACACTAGTAGTCGCATCAGGGACATCTTTTCATGCAGTCAATTTGAAGCATATTCTTCGTTTGTTGGTGGAAAGAGTTGACAATAGTATCCAAGGCGTCACGTTTCAAACAAAAACGGCTCGTCAATCACAGCCCTCTAAAGTTAGTCACAACAGGTCAACCAATCATCTCTGGTACTTGAGATGACTCGACTTTGACCTGCCCTGTGCCTTGACATGCACGACTCGAGAGTGATTTGGAGAAAAAACCTGTAATCATCTTCAAAATTTCTTAATTTTCACACTTTAATCAAAGGCTTGACATGCTTGACAGGTTGTTAATCTAAGAGTTGTCAAGACTAATGATAAATGCTAATTGGAAGATACAAATGTTTTGCAGGATTTATAATTTCAAGTATAATAATCCTTCACACCCTTTTTCAATTTCCAAATTGCGGAAGTAAAATCTAATTGATATTACTCAAATTTTTTCCAGAAATTCATTCAGAAGCCAGAATTTTTGAATTCCAGAATTCAGAGGTATGAATTATATAGAAAACATAAGGAGTAATATTTCAGGACCCTGAAAAATTGTTCCTGGAATTTTAGAAGTCAGTATTCAGAAGTTGCATTGAAGTACATTAGCGTATATTTTTAATCACATGATTGATTTTGACATTTGGTACACCTGAGACATTTTCCAAACAAATCATGCCCCATTACATTGAAATTAGCAGACAAATTGTGATTAAAATAATTTTTAAGTGGTAATGCCAATTTCATGCATCATGTACCAAAACCATGCAGGTGATTACTTTATAAATAGTACCAGTGAATTATATTTCATCTGCTTCCTGTCAGCATAACATGACATAAGTAGTTTGGCAAATGTCGACGGCAATCTGACTAAAGTTCAGATCTACTTATTTCTTTTATGTAGATCTGAAGACGAACGTATTTGTTTCGCCTTCTTTATAATTCAGATTTCCCGACAAAACTATTTTACCTGTCGGCTATATGGACAATGCCATGTTTGTTCTTGAAATCGTGAAAATTACTACTCAGTAATGGTTTACTCAGGGTTAAAATAAGAAACCACATCGCTTTCAAAATTATGAAAGCTCGCCGATAATTGGCTGTGTGAATAGTCACCAGAGTGTTATTTAGAGCTGATTTTAATCAGAGTGATGTCAATGGTAAACCAAATATCAAAACAATGAAGTTTTAAATGCATTAATGTACTCAATAATATTGACCAAAGTCAAAAGTCGCCTTAAAAACGGTGAAGTCTTTCTCACGAATGATCTTGAAAAGTATACATATCAAAAATTATCACTGGACACATTTGTAATCCTGGTAAAAGTATAATGTCATAGCAGCCATATGTGCTTATTCATATCTTTTAATTTGATTTTCTATAAAATATTTTGATTCGTTTGCTGACTATTTCACCCATTTTAGCCATTATATAAGCTTTGCACTAAGAGTCAGTGTTACTTTCGCACGATTCGTGTGTTATTTTCACATTCCTGGGCCACTGGATATACATTGGGTTCATCAATATTGTTTACATGAACTGTGACTATTGTAGCTAAAATAAATTTTCGTTTATCATGCCATTCATATCTGTATCTTAATTAACTGATCTTCAATACCTTCACTCTGTCTCATATTCACATTTATGTGTACAATTTATATTATTGTTAAGATCCTGCCATCTTACCGGGCTCAATATTTAGAAGTTTATCTTCATATTCTCAACAGCTATAATAGACCATTAACATTTTTTTTTCATGACTGTGGCTATATGAAGAGGAAGATATAGTATGATAAATCAGAAAAAGGTGAAGTCTAAAATGAATCACCAACAACCGAAAACACAATATAGCCACACATTTAGACATACATTAACATGTATTTTCAGCTTAATTACAACTGAACATGCAAGCTAGATGTAGGGCAAAAGCCCTCTCGGACAAAAGCTATCCTGTCCAAAATGGCAGGGCTGATAAAAGACAGCCCCCATGAAATTGACAGGGCGGACAAAAACCCTCTCATAAAGGACAGGGTGGAAAAAAGCTCTCCCATGAAAATTCAATGTGACCCTTTAGCCCTCATCACAAACATCAAAAGGGGTCATGAGGTGCCAAAGACCAATGTTTCTTTGAAGTTTGAAGGTCAAGTGCCAATAATTTGTTAATGTACTTGGTCAGAAAGCATTTGACATACAGGGACATTGTGACCTTGACCTTTGACCCTGCAACATCAAAATCAAAAGGGGTCATCTACAGATCTAGACCAAAGTTAGAGGGTAGAGGACTCATGGGTTGTTGAGATAATACTGCTTGGAAACCATTTTGATATACATGGTCTGAATGTGACCTTTACCTTTGACCCCAAAATCACTTAGGGCAACTACATTGTACTTGCCAAGACCAATGCATCGGTTAAGTTTGAGGATGAACGGCACTGGCCCATGAGATGTCAATTTTTGGTCGGAAACAATTTTGATATAAAAGGTCAATGTGACTGACCTTGACATAGAGCCCTAAAGAAACAATAGAGTTTATCTATTGGTCATCACAAAACTCCATACCAAATTTGAAGTCTCTAAGCCCGTTCTGAAGTTATTGGTCAAAAACTGTTTGGTCTACAGACTGACATGTGCAAAGCAATATACCCCTCACTTCTTTGTGGGGAAGAGGGCATAAATATGTTAAATAAAGTAAATATATATGAAGTATATATATATATTTGTAGTATACTGTGAGTCATGTTGGCCTGTGTTTTAAAGTCTTTCTTTCAGTTAATAAGATTTTCAGTCTTCTCACTTGGGATCCCACTTCTGTTGCAATGATGTTGCAATACCTCATTGGAATTGCACTAATAGTCTGTCTCTTGCAGGATGTCGAACCGACCCAACCATACACAGAGTTTTTCACGGCGACTTTCTGAAGTGCTTGATGACATTGGTGTAAATGATGCCATGGTCAGAAAAAGAAGAGAAATAATGTTGGCAAATGAAACTATTAAAACAATACAGCAAAAAATGCTAGGGAACAATAAGACACTGTATAACTTTGGGAGCCGGACAGAAGGCACCACAACAATAGGGCTTAATTCAGATACAGACACCCTTGTTTCAGACAACCGTTTAAATATAATACAAGATCTTGCAGAGTGGCGTGAAGGGTATAAAAATCTGTTGATGGTGCATGACCCTAATACACCACCAGGGTATTGTCTTTTACAGAGTACATATGACAACAATCCTAGGCCAGTTGTTCATCCACAAACCGGAAGAGACCTTGTAAGGAATGACTGGTTTGTAGATAGAATGCCTGAGGGTACTACAAGACATGGACCATCATTGTCCACACGCGGTTTACAAGGATTTTTTGATGATGACACTGTGCATGCATTCTATTGTAAATCATGGCCAAAGGAGGCAAGACAGTGGGTAGACACAACAAGACCTGGAGATTGGCCTCCTGAAGAATTGAAGAGACAAGCTATAAATGATGGATGTTTTGTTGTACCTGTTGGCTGCTGTGATACTGAAAATGAGGAATTTCAATGGAGAATATCAACATCATTAACAGAACGCAGGCTTATGTTCAGCTTAAACATAGTTCAAATAAGGTGTCATGTATTAATGAAAATGATTCTAAAATCTGACCAGACCCTTGATTCTGATGATGCCCTTTCAAGTTTTATCTGTAAAACAGTCCTCCTTCATTGCATTCAAAGAGAGGAAGAAAATCTCTGGCAAGATGATAACTTACTAACCTGTTTTAAAATTTGCTTAAAGTTTCTGCGTGATTGTGTTGTGTCCGAACGCTGTCCACACTTTATTATACCGGCAAACAATCTTATGGCAAGACGCATTCCACCAGACGTCAAACCAAAAATTCTTACCACAATCCAACGTATTTTAGATAGTGATGGTAATGCTTTAAATGAAATCCAAATTGACCATCTCGGTATGAGATTAAGTGGACAGTATAATCAAACTGTGTATGGTCACAACAATGTTATAGTTGAAGTACTACCATCAGGATTTACAATCAGGCAATCATTATCGGGACACCTGCTTTATAATTTCATGCTCTTTTTGAGTGCATTCAATAAGAACCTTATGTCTACTTTGACTGACTGCAAAACTGAAACTGTTGTTCAAAATTTATCACAATATATTGACAAGCTTGGAAGCATTTATCCTGAAGGTGATTACAATGCAAAGACAGCCTGTACCGTCCTAGCATCATTCTTATACATGTCATATGGATCAGTTCTTGCTTCTCGGTGTATTTCTAGGAATGAATCGATTACAGAAAACATTCTTCTTATGATAGAACAAGGTTCAATGACTGATTTCTCATGTAGCTTAAAACAAGCATCAGTGTTTTACTGCAAAGGAGACATTCTTCTGGTTCGAGGCATACTTGATCAAATAGATCAACAATATAGCATTGAACGTTTGCAATCGGTTTGTTGTTGCTACCAGAGTCGAGATAGAGGAATGCAAAAGCCTGAATTTCAGGAAGTTTGTGTTGAAGGTGATATAAAACATGCATTGAAGCACACGGCTTTTTGTGTCAGGTTCTTGCCATGTGAGGTAAATTGTGTCCCGGAGGAGCTAAAACACGAGTATTTTCGCACAGTATCGGGCATGCATTGTTACAGAGAGCAGCAGGATGACTGGATGGACTGGGCTGTAGTAGACTCTATTCCCTATTTTCATTTCTTACAATATAAAGTCTATTCCCAGCAAGGTAACGGACGAAGAAAATGGACGGCTTTTAATAAACTTAGGCAAGCAATAGCCAATGACCCAAACCTTGGACACAAAGAAACAGCCTTAAATTTACTGGCACAATGCATGGAGCAGGAATGTGTGTTGGATGATGCATTAGATTGCTACAACAACTCAATTAACCATCGTCCAGATCACAATGCTGCAAATTCTCTCAAACAGGAAACATCATATAGACTCTAGAATGAATGATAAACCTAACTTTGACCATAAGCAGTGTACGTCTATTCTAGAAGGGGGAATGGGGGGATTCACTCATATTTTTGAGAATTCCCCCCTATTTTTCAGAGGCAGGGTGGAAATTTACATAGAGAAAGAAAGAAAAAGAAGGAAAAAGATCAACAAATGTGATAAATTCTCATTTTCGATAAAAATGTTTTTCAAATCCTAGAATAGACTGTATAAGTCTGTTTAATTCAGAATAGAAACAGAATATTCCTTACAACTTAAGAAAACTAAATATATTTTATCATTTGTAGTATCAACATGAAAAGCAGCTTAGCATAGGATTTAACCCATTACGCGATATACACGCCTTTAACGCCTTTTTCACCCCCCCCCCTTTTTTTTGTTGTCTCTAATGGTGAAAAAATGCCTTATTTAGGCCCCCAACACTTGTTTTTGTTCGAGAAATGTTGTTAAAAAAGTGACCATTTTTTCGGCGCGGCCCCCAACCAAAAGATACATCGGGGGGTTGCCAGAAGGGAGATGTGCCCCCTGTTTGGGGGGTTTGAAGGGGGCAGAATCCCCCTCATCGCCAAGAAAATTTTGGACTTGTGAGAGGCTATAAATGAACCCAGATTGATCATTAAGGTAATGTGTAACCAACGCTGAAAAGCATTTGACTCTATCTCAATCCATTGAGAAGTTGCAGCACTTTGAAATCAATTTTGATGGAAAAAATCAACGCAAAATAGTGATTTTTGGCAATTTTGAGATGTCCCCTCGTTGCCATGGTAACAGAAAATTTAAGCCTGAGCATGTTGTTTTAAGGGCAATGGTCCAGTCAACATTTGTGCCAAGTTTGATTAGTGTTGAAGCAGTTTTTTTTATAGTATTATAGCAATTTGAACTTGTAACGGGAGACTTTTCAATGAAAACAGCCATTTTTCACAAAATGCTCATGAAGTAATGGGTTAAAACACATAATTTTAAAATGATATGACAGGAAGAAAAATTAGTTGTTTTGCATATTTTCCCCTGAAAGACATCAAATAAAATGAGCAGGAAATTAGCATGTTTTCAATATGTATATCAAATATCGAAAGAGGTGAGTAAATGAGCCACGTCACGACAAAACCGACATAATGGGTTTGCGACCAGCATGGATCCAGACCAGTCTGCGCATCCACTCAGTCTGATCAGGATCCATGCTGTTCGCTATCAGTTTCTCTACTTGTTATAGGGTCTGTAAGCAAACCCATTATGTTGGTTTTGTCGTGACACGGCTCAAATGATTGAATCATTTGGTAATAGGTAACAGTGCGTTAAATTTAATGGGAGTTGGACTGTTGCTGCATTGGACTGAATGATATGTGCTATACTGCCATGTATATATATATATATGGTACACTATACTACCATGAGTACATGTACTATATAATCATGTATATATGTACTATCATTTTTATATGTTTATTTTTGAATTGTATAATCTTTTATGTTTATGTTGTATAATCATTTATGCATGTTCTATAAAATCATTTATGTATCTGCTATAAAATCATATATTATTGTTTATGTGCTATGCACAGTAACCATTTTTTTACACAATCTCAAATATAAAAATTGTGATTTTTTTGAGTATACAAAAAATGCATGGTTCAGGAAAAAGGTATAATAACAATAATAATAATATCTTTATTTAAAGAAGGTTACACATTAAGAACATACAATAGCAATCATATATATCTTAAATTATTTCCAATGTGAAAGTATATGAGCCGTGCCATGACAAAACCAAAATAATGGGTTTGCGACCAGCATGGATCCAGACCAGCTAGCCTGCGCATCCGCAAATAAATTATTTAAACAAATCTTTAAAAAGAAAGTTACAGGGATAAAAAAAGTTATTCCTTTTTTTTTTTAGTTTTAATAGGTCTGTCTAGTCACATTTGTTGTTTTGTGCAAGTATGAATCATTATATTTGACATTTAGCACTATGAATAAATGACAAAATAAAGCAAATACAGTCAAAACTGTACTAACGGTCACCTCTTTAGGGCGATCACCTGACCTCAACAGCTACTTTTTGATGGCCCCAACAAAAATCACTCTATTTTATACATCTGTTCAATGGTCACCTGCTGTCCGCGGTCAATCAGAGTGATGTCAATGGTAAACCAAATATCAAAACAATGAAGTTTTAAATGCATTAATGTACTCAATAATATTGACCAAAGTCAAAAGTCGCCTTCAAAACGGTGAAGTCTTTCTCACGAATGATCTTGAAAAGTATACATATCAAAAATTATCACTGGACACATTTGTAATCCTGGTTAAAGTATAATGTCATAGCAGCCATATGTGCTTATTCATTTCTTTTAATTTGATATTCTATAAAATATTTTGGTTCGTTTGCTGACTATTTCACCCATTTTAGCCATTATACAAGCTTTGCACTAAGAGTCAGTGTTATTTTTGCACGATTCACATTCCTGCGCCACTGGATATACCTTGGGTTCATCAATATTGTTCACATGAACTGTGACTATTAAAGCTAAAATAAGTTTTCTTTTATCATGCTATTCATATCTGTATCTTAATTAACTGATCTTGAATTCCTTCACTCTGTCTCATATTCACATTTATGTGTACAATTTATATTATTTGTTAAGATCCTGCCATCTTACCGGGCTCAATATTTAGAATTTTATCTTCATATTTTTAACAGCCATAATAGACCATTAACATTTTTTTTCATGACTGTGGCTATATAAAGAGGAAAATATAGAAAAAGGGGAAGTCTAAAATGAATCACCAACAACCGAAAACACATTATAGCCACACATTTAGACATACATTAACATGTATTTTCAGCTTAATTACAACTGAACATGCAAGCTTGATGTAGGGCAAAAGCCCTCTCGGACAACAGCTATCCTGTCCAAAATGACAGGGCTGATAAAAGCCAGCCCCCATGAAATTGACAGGGCGGACAAAAACCCTCTCATAAAAGGACAGGGTGGATCACCTGACCTCAACAGCTACTTTTTGATGCCCCCAACAAAAATCACTCTATTTTATACATCTGTTCAATGGTCACCTGCTGTCCGCGGTCAACGGTCACCTAAAATGCTTTCCGAATCTTAAACTCGACCAATTCTTAAGCGATCAGCGAGGTGAAACGGCCAGACAATCTGCTGTTAAGATGACACGTGTCATGGATTAACAAAAGCTACTATTCACCAGCCAGATATTAACACAACTACAAAATTTTAAGAACTTTGCACAATTACTCAACCGTGTCATTGTAATTACAAACAATTGGAATGTCTGCACTCACTTGCAATCTGTTCTTTTGAGTTGCGTTATTTTCCAATTAAGCAATTAAAATAATAATTATAAGAAGAAAAAATGCTTTGTCGATGGCGGAAAGAAATATTTTGAATTGTTTTTCTTTATATTAGACAGTTGATCCTTTGGCGATGTTTCTGTTTTGGAAAAAGTTCAACTGAAGTTTTACAAATATATTTTTAATTTAAAAAAGTCTACACCGTCTTATATGGTGTACGGAGAGAGGCATTTTTCCTTTAAAAATTCATATTAAAAATAGGGTTGTATCATACTGGACAAGACTTATTGATAATATAAATAGTAATGAAACAGCGAAACTATCATCAAAGTTGTATATTGTTTTAAGGGAACTACAAAATAATTATTTAGTTAAGTCACTCTGGATAGAAAATGTTAAACAATATTTATGTGAGACAGGTTTTTCTGGAATATGGTATGCTCAATGTTTTAGCAGTAGTAAATGGCTTATTAAAGCAAACTTTCAAAAGTTAAAAGATATCTATATTCAAAGCTGGAGAGCTAAAATTAACAATACGTCAGACTCAAATTTGTATAAATATATAAAAGAAAACTTTTGTAGAAGCGCTTACATAGACACATTACCTCTATATTTTGCTAGGAAATTTTTTATGTTTTTAACAAGGAACCATCGACTTCCAATTGAAACGGGACGTTGGTAAAACATACCCATAAACGATCGTAAATGCACTCTTTGTAGAGATATAGGAGATGAATTTCATTACATTTTTAAATGTCCAATATTTGAAAACGAAAGAAGAAAATATATAGATAATTTTTACCGACAAAGACCAAGTATGTTTAAATTCATAGAACTATTAAACTGTAGAAATATGAAGAAATTAGAAAATTTAAGTATCTGTTGTAATAAAATTATGCAATATTTTGTTTTTTCTTGATTATTCTCTATGTTACATATATTGTCTATGTTATGTACACTGTAGATTAAGGTATTGGTAGATGAAATATGTCAACATACTAATATACCATGTTTATGTATTAGATATTAATGATTTCTGTTTAAAAACAGTATATTCTGTAATTTTTATTCACATAGTTCACATAGGATGTTTATGAAAGGTTCACTAAAACTTATATGTCACATTGTGAAACATTAAAATACTACATTTTTTAGAAAATTTAGAATATTTACTATTCTTCTGAAATGACATTACTGACAAAAATGCTCTTTATGCTGCAAATATATTGCATTATTTTCATTTTCTTGTGTATCATGAAAGAGTTAAGTTTATATTGTTAAATATACAAAATTAAGAATTATATATTGACTAAAGCATATAAATATATTTTATTTATTTGGCATTTGAATTATTTAAAAGAAAATTTGTTTCTTTGTTATACGTACTTAATATAAGTCTCTCTCTATCTTTCTTAAAAAGGTTGAAATTATGCAACATGTAATCAATCACCTTTGTTGAAATTTGAAAAGTATAATATCTTAAGATATTTGAAATACTATGTCATCTCGGCTATATGTATAATATATATAATTTCACACTTTTACATTAAGTATTAAATTACAATCTTTATGCTATAAGTACGTTTCGCACATTTTATTTTTCTCTCAAGCAAATCTAAGATTCAAATATGAAACTTTCTGTTTCATTACAAACAATTGATACTGAAATGAATGTTAAATTGTTAGAACCTTTTTATAACCTGGATATCTTTCGTGTTTGTTTTTTTTTCGATAGGCTTTCGTTTCGTTTTGTTCAGGTTATTATGAAAGGTGTAAACATTCTATTTGATCCATTAGTCATACTTATGGAAGCCCTGGAGGGACATTTTAAATTAAAATTTAAAACTTAAAACTTATTATTTAATTCTTAATATTTAAAAATCAATTCTTAATACTTAAAAATTAAGATCAGAATACATAAGACGCGGGTATTTGAATCCAACGGTCTGTGCACGAGAAAAACTGGGAAATTCGATGTAGTTGCCTACATGCCTACAGGTAATTGCCATTTTTTATATATACAACAAACATTCCGTGAACTTTTATATCTCGATTGTTATATTTTTAATGCTAACAGTTGAAACGATCAAGATTTGTTAGTTTTATCAAAGACGCCAGATACGGTGCCGCTTTACATTTTATTGATTACATGGTGTCAAATAGACAGGGGGTTAGGGTTGTCTAACGATAATGTTTAGTTGTTGGTGGTGGATAACAATATAACATGTTTACAGCCCAAGCCCTTTGTTTTTATAACGTTATATTTCATTATTTCTATTTTTTTAAGGTCGTAAACAGGGAGATATCGTTGATGTTTGCCTTTATCATTTTATTGACAGTGACTCCTGTGTCAACAGTTGTGTCATCCCTATTGCCATCTGAAAACGGAAGCACCAGGTTAGAAGTGATTACGCAATACTTTCATGCTGACTTGAAGTACGCAGAAATTGTTTTACTTCTCCTTTGTCGCCACAGCATACGTCTTGGTCTTCGTCAGTTAAAGAGGATACTTCGTTGTAATAATTAAGGGCGTCACCGTGTCATGTATACTTCACAAGAAATCGTACAGGTACAGTAGAAAAAGAATTGCAGTTTAGCGGAGACGGCTTATTGTAACACGGTGGATGAATACGTTGAAGGATTTGAGAGCTCGTGGACGTATTGACACGTCAAATCCTATTTATGCAAAATGCTTGCGATTTTATGTAACGGATGTTCTTCAAGCGGGACTTTATTGCATTGTATCCATTGGAATTTACACAATGTGCAACCACAGAAACATGTAGACACTTGTACTGGAGAAACAGAAACAAAATGTTGTTTAATGTACTATTTACTGATTATGGTGTTAATGTTGATTTGTAGGATATTGAATA